ATAGATCGATAAGAATGGAACGAGCTGACAACCTGCCTGGACAATGGAGGAGAGGTTTTGGTGTGATCAAGTATGTGAAAGGCTGTGGACATGATAAAGTTTATCATTATCATAGTTACATATCACAGTCATATGACATTGTAACGGCTGTTTGGATGTTGTGTTATAGAGGGCACGAGGGGAATTGGAAATAAACCAAAAAAAATCTGAGTTCAGACCAGGTCTGAGGGGATGCTAAGAGGCTAGTGCTACCTGTGGGCCGATGGAAAGGAAGGATTTTGTACAGAGGCAACTGAATGAATGGCTTTAATTGTAGTAACAGAAGTCCGTAAGCTCGGTTCACATTTTGAGAAGTGATGATGCAGGGGAGAGGAAAGTGCACTTTAACAAGTCAGTTTGAAGAAAAGATGTTGAGTTTAGCTTTTTCGAGGATGATTCTTGAATATTGAGCGCTTGTTCCTTTTTGCTGGAGAAATAATCCTGTGTATTTAGGGATACTATTGGCACTGCCTCAAATGTTCTCGGCTCACGTCTCCCCCCAGCTGTTGACTAATCCTTGCACTCTCTGGATATCTCACCATCCACTGTCACAGGTACTGGTGCCTGACCAGCTTTTATAAATTACCTGATTCTGAGAATTCTACCAGGGTGGAACATGTAGCTCCATGATGTAGGAGAAATCCTGTTCAGTTAGGTTCCTATGTCAGAGTGCAATCATAAACTTTTGTGGCCTTGCCCTTCAATGTGTTTCCTTTCTTATTTGAACCTGTTTATTTTCTTGCTTGGGTTACGGTTTCAGGACACTGTGGGTAGGCTTTTCCTCTTGGAGAAGAGGGACATGCCAACGAAACTCAAATCATGATCTTGTTGGTGTTCAGAGATGTGCATTTTAGCTCTCCGTGTCTATAACCACTTCCAGTCCCATAATCCACTGAGAATACTGTTACTCCAATTCTGGCATCTTGTACTTTCTTTACTTCCTTTAGCCCACCATTGGCAGTCATGCCTTCAGCTTTCTAACTCCTGTGTTTATGAATTCCCTCCCGAATACCCATTCTTCAAGATGCTCCTTAAAACCTACCTCTAAGACCAAATCTTGGCAACATTTATGCGCAGTTTAAATGTTCACGGTTTTTAATCTAAAGGTGAAGCAGGTAACTCTTGTTTTGTTACAGTGCATTTTTCTTTGCATCACTGATTCATTTTGGTTGTTCCTGTTTTTGCAGGTGTCACTATTGATTGGAGAGCCATTCTTCACCACCAGCCTCCTTCCCTGGCACAATCTTTATTTCTGGTATGCGAGGACATACCTGACCAAGGTCCTGAGAAGCGAGTTGACTGTGTTGCCGCAGTCTGCCGTACTCTTAGCGATGGCTGTGGAGTTTGAGGTGAGTGAAGGAAAAGCTGTAGCATGTTGTGAAGGGTATGGTCTGACACTAGAATTTGGAGAAACACAATCATAGAGGATAGACCTTTCTGCACCTTCCATCATTCCGTTAAGTCATCGTAACTCCAACTTCTCATCTTAGGCCCATATTCCTTAATATATTTTCTCAAGTAATGGTGAAAAAAGACTTGTTTTGTTGAAACCTTTCATCTTGCACTCATCAGAGCAATTCATACTAATGTAAAGGAAAGCAACATTTATACAGTATGAGAGTTGAGTGTTGTTTGGTTAACAAGTGGATTCTGGTATCCAGTCTGCTTCCAATTACCCTGGAAGGGTAAGATATCTCAAATGTTTGAACAACCAGTGCTGTTTGCCCCAAATAAGATGCTGTCATCAAACCAAAAGAACATTCTACCTATCATTCAAGCAAGTATGTGGAGTATGACTTTCAGCACAATTATGATGCTAGGAATGAAAGCTGTGTATCACCAATGACTGACGGATCGTGTCAAGTAACATGTCCCTTTGCCTGTTTACACCGAGTAAGGAACCCAAACAGCCTGAGGAAGCAAAATTCTCAAAATAGTATGCAACATTAGATCTGATTTGGCAATTGACCAACATCTGTTGAACAATTCCGAGTGCGCAAATAATTATGTTTACAGCCAATGTATGGTGGTCATTTTGTCTCCTAGTGTGACACTTGTGTATATTGGAAGCTATGTATATTAATGCAGAGGCATTTGTTCTTTAGAGACAGAAAGAACATATACACGCTGTGCATGTTTCACCTTAACAAAATAGGTGATAACCATTTTCCGGTTCCCCCCTCAAGAAAGTACTGTGCCCAATCAGAGATAACATGCTTGGTCTAAAATATAAATAAAAGTTTGCGGTTAACTATCAGTCATCATCTAATTCTCCTTGCAACACCTCTTATCAGTCAGAGTCTACTTGCCAACCAATCACCATCTTCCTCCCAATATAAATGTTGGTTTCCCTTTACAGTAGTCATTCTTCCAAATCATCCTGATGAGCTCAAGACAATGTGTTCTCTGTCAGCAATACTCCAGTTCGGTTCTGCTAAAAGAGCTTTTCCTAAAATAAATCTTATTCCCAGCTTTGAAATTCGTATCTGATCCACCATCAACAACGTTTTGGAGGATAGATTTCCACTAATCTTTTTGTGAAGAAATGTTTCCTGACGTCATCCTTGTGTGGTCTATGTTTGTGCTCCTTTGTTCTAGACTCTGTTACTTTCTCTGTTTACCCTCTTAAATCCTATAGTTGTTTTAAACATTTTGTATTAAGTCTCCCCTTATCCTCTATACTCAGGGAATGTGAGTCTCCTCAATGCAACTTGTCCTCAATTTAACCTTTTTACCCTGGCATCATTCTGACAGACGTGCATTGCAACTGATTCAAGATAAATGTAATCGTGATCAGAAATGGAGTCAGAAACCAGATTTTCACACTTTCCAGGTTCAGTTTGTCCATTGCTGTGTGCAAAAATAGTTTGTATTCTCATCATCATGAGACACAAGACCAACATTCATTTAGCTGTTTACATTTATCTTTGTGACTGGAGGGCGGTGTTTGTATTTGGTCTATTGCTCGATTCAGCAAATTTCAGAAGCTAAAAACACACAGCTGTCTCATTTAAGTTTTGCATCAGTTTCATACCTTACACAGTTCACCAGACCAGTCCACTGGTGTGTCTCTCTCAACTGTTTCCACCCCTGAGACCACAGATTACTATGCTCCCTGCACGTGATCTTGGATTCAGGATCTGCAAATAGGGATATAGCTAGAATTATGATTATTTTCAAGCAGCAGAAGACAGGTTTTTTTTATATAAAGTATTTTTCTCTAATATTTTAAATGCAGTATATTTTTGTAAAACTAATGAAAATCCTATTCTTAGAGGGGACCTCTGAAGGTGGAAGAGCAAGGGAAACACTGAATTGACCACTGTCAGAGCAGGGGCCATCTAGAAAGATAGAGAGAGACAGAACAGTAGATTCCATCAGTGAGTTACATGGGGCCAGCTGGCTTACTGGTTGGTTCAGTGAGAGGAATAGTTGCTGAATAGTCTTGTTAGATCTTCTGCAGGGTGAAACCATGCTGTGACATAGCCTATATGTTTTTACCTCCACCAGTGAGCATATAATATGTGTCCAGTGATAGAATGTTTTTATCCTTATTTTCATGCAAGTCTATAATTGACAATGTAGCAAGAAGCTCCCTCAGTGTCCTCAAGGGCATGCAGCACATCATCTGGCACTGTACTAGGACAGCAATAAATGCTTCAATAGGCCTGTAAGTTCCTGGGTTTAGGGGAAGTTATCAATCAAGAGTGGGGTGATCACAGTCTACTGATCACGCTTGTGTCAGTGTTTGTCAGGAACCAAATGCTGGTGTTGGTCTCGGTGTCAGGGTGAAAGAACGTGGTTGCAGGCCCACAGCTAAGCACTTGACAAGAAGAACTGTAAAGCTGAATTCTTAACTATTTCCTTATCTCCTCCTTTTATATCCTGTGTCTTAGCTTATTTTTGGTGTTCTAAGATGGTGCTGGAGAATGGCGACATTGTACAACACTTTTCACTGTATTTGTAACAAATGCATGTAACAAATACACAACAATAAATAAATCAAGTCAAATCAAATCATCTCTGTTGGCTATGATTTCATGGGTTGAGAAGCCAGCTCATATTCATTATCATGTTTGTTGAGTAAGGTAATGGGCAGCAAATTGGGATATCTCTGGGACAACATTCTTTTTAAAGTGCGTGGGCATGTGTTTATTTTAAGTGCACGGCACCTTCTAGTTTTTTTGACACAGCTACTTGAAGAGGCTTAGTTTTGTGCAGCCTGTGCGGGTACTGGTGCAGTCTTGAGATTTGGAAGGAGCATTGCTAGGCAACTGCATCCTGGCAGCGTAGGATCCCTAAATAATAATGGACGCAGTCATTTCATTCACTTTCTACCGTCCTCCTTGTCACATGATTCACTGGGAATGCATAGGGCTCTTGTGGTGCAGTGGTAGTGTCTCTTCCTCTGGGCCAGGAGGCCTAGGTTCAAGCCTCACCTGCTCCAGACGTATGTGTAAATATGTGAACAGGCTGTTTAAAAATATCTCCAATAATCATTTGTTTATTATTCAAAGCAATTAATATCTATCAGTTAGTTTTAAAATAGAACGTAACTTAAAACATAAGAGTCCCCAGAGGTGGAGAGCTTTTGGAATGTCAAGTCCAGAATAACTTGTTCCTCCCAAACATTTGGGACCAAACACATCATGTCTCAAATAACTCAATTACTCCATCCCAAAATATTATTTTCTGGAAAAAAGAACTATCTAATTATCCCAGAATTGGAAAACTTCAGTTCTAAAGATACCTTGGAGAAGTTGGAATGTTTTTCTTTGTGAGAAGAAGGCTAAGAGGAGATTTGCTAGAAGTATTCACAATCATGAGATGGTCTGGATAGAATAGATACAGAGAAACTGTTCCCACTTGTAAAATGATCAAGAACAAGAGGGTGCAGATTTGAAATGATTTGCAAATGTGATGTGAGAAAACACTTAAAACAAAGAGTGATTCAGGCCTGCAGTGTACTGCCTGGAAGTAAGGTGGGGACATGTTTAACTGAGGCATTTAAGCGAGCATCAGATTGTTTCTATTCAAGTGATGTGCAAGGATACAGGAAATGATAGGAGAATCACACTGTTATAATGTTCACTTGAGAGTTGCTGCAGACATGATAGGCCAAATGACCACCACCTGCACTATTGCACTTCTGTGATTTTGTGAATTTTCACTTGGATGAAGCAGAGCAAGTTTATAATTTGTACAGTGGAAAATGCGAATGATTTTCTGTTGACTTCCATTGTCTGCATGTGTCGATTCCTTGTTTTGCATGAGCAATCAGTACAATCTATTTAAACTAATCCCATTTACTGTTTATCTCTGTAGAACCTCTGGCGTATTCGTGCTCCCTGTGGGGTATGTGAAGGCTTTAACGTCAGCCTTATGGATGAGATGATCCAGGTGAGAGGTGGACCTTGTTCTTATGCATAGACCTTGTTCTTATGCATAGACCTTGTTCCATTTATACAACAAGTTGTGCCCATAACTGGCCACTGTTGCTTTCTTAGTCCAGTTAGTTGAAACTTTCAGCTGCAAGGATGATGCTGTGAAATGCCATGTTGACGTAGTATGCAAGGGTTTGGGGATTCAGTACTTGGCTGTGCATTGTGTGGGGAAGTCTAGAGGGAAAGTCAGTGGTATGATCTGGGAGAAAGGCTAAATATATGGCACAGCTGTTTTGTCCAGGAGTATCCTGGGGAGACTGAGGAGAAAAAATTGAGATAATGATCTTACAAATCACATAGCATATGATGTTTGGCAGTCTGGGAAATATTTTCTGGGCCTTGAAAACCTCTTGATCTTGCATGGATTTTCAGTAAACATCAATCTTTATGTTTAATTGTATAACTTTAGAGTCTGCTGTTAATGTTGCTGTGCCTGAACCTTGTCTTAACATGGGCTCTTTATTCAGAAAATTGAGGCTTTGTGCTTGTCAAAAAGTGATAAACTCTTCACTCATCTAGAGGCTTGACTAATAAATACCAAATAACTTCCACATTCTTTTACACAGTATTTTTGTTCAGCATGCACTTGAATTGTGAGCAAAGGTGGTGAATTGTTAAATAATCTGGGAGTAGCTTCAAAAACCAAGAGAATGGTCTATCAGGAGAAATATACTCAGTTTTACAAGCTATTAATAGATTGATATGTTGACATTTTACAAGATTTTACAAGTTCATTTCATGTCTCCATAAAATGCAAAATTGTTACAGGGCTCAGCAGTGTAGATACAGGAAGCAATTTTCCTCTGACTGGGAGTTCGGAATCACAGTCTCCGAATGAAGAGTGGGCTATTTAGGACTGATATGATGAGAAATCTTCATTCAGGGTGGTGAATCTTTAGAATTCAGAGGACTGTGAATGCTCAGTTTTGGCTATGTTCAAGACGGAGATCGATTAGATTTCTAGATAGTTAGTTATTTTGTAGTACAGGATACAGGACCATTGCTGAAAGGAGGCACGTTTTATACAAGCTTTTCAGGACATTCTACACAAATACAAATTCAAAAGTAAAAGCAACATATATACAGCATGAGAGGAGAGTGCTGAATGATTGACAAGTTGACTGTGATTGATAGAAACACTATCATTGAGAATGCACCCATTAATGCAGATTAATGCCTCTACCAATCAGATCCATTTACCATTCAACGAGCTCATGGTCCTTATGCATAATAAATAATTTTGCCCTTGTGTTCTTTCAAAATCTTCTGATGAATGCAAAGTTAAAAGATTTTTAGATATTTAAATGTTGATGATGTGGGAAGAGTGTAGGCAAATGGTTGAGGTGGAAGATCGTGATCTGGTTGAATAGCAAAGCAGGCTTGAGAGGCTGATTAGCCTTCCCCTCCTGTTTCCAATCACCCTGTGCTCCTGTATTAATGGAACTCCTGAAAGACTTGCATTTATTCAGCATCCATTATGACATTTCGATGTCCCAAAACTCCTCACTGTTAGTGGAATACTGGCACCAGAAAATGTCGTCACTGTAATGTAGGAAATACCAAGCAATTCTACAAACAGCAACATGATAATGACCAGAAAATCTGTTGTAGTGATTGTGATTGATGGTCTACAATTGACCAGATGACCAGGGTGAATTCTGGTCCTCTTCAAATAGTGCTGAGAGTTTTCATGTCCTCCTGAGTGCCTAGGTGGGGCGTGGGTTCATTGTCCTATTGCAGCATTCCTTCAATACAGCTCTGAAGTGTCAACCTAAATTTTGTTGGAACTTGAACCTTCTGATGCAGACAACCGCTACATTTGAACTATTGCTGACTCACCAACAATATATGCAATTTGACTTTATGTATGTTGGACAGGTTCAGTCACAACTTTGTTTTAGTTTTTGAAAGTTGTAAAACTGATCGCTGTTTCACATTCACTTATTCCACTCCTGAGCCCCCACTTGTTTTCTTTATATGTCCATGTTCCTGTCATTTCGTGCCATCCTTTTTCAGAATTCATTGAATTTCCGTGAATGTCAGGAGGCTGAACCCCACCCGCTTTGGGAGTACCCCTGTCGGGGACTCAGTGATCCTTGCCAGGTCCTCAGCTTTGATTTTCGCCAGGAAGTACCAGAGCAGCCAATTTACTCCACAGGATCAATGAAGCTATTGAGGTATGGAGAAGGACAAGTACTTTCCTGCAGCTAATATTAAACAGGAAAGAGTTAGAATGATCTTTGGAAGGGAGATACTTGGGAGATATGAGGCATAGGAGCATATTGAAACCTCTCGGAAGCAAAATGATTAATTATTCACATATGAACCGTGTATTAATTTATCGGACCAAGTGTGTTATGAATAACTGTGTTTACATGAATTGTTTAATGTCTTGTGTTTAATACCTGAGGTGTAGATGAATTCATCAAAGAAAGCCAAAAATCATTGTTAGATTATGGTTTATGACGATCATTTTCCTGTCCTGCCCTAGTTACTGTATTGTTGATTTGCGTGACCATCTTACTAGTTATGGAGGTTGTTATTGAATAGTGGTTCACAACTAACTGGATTGTAGCCACACATGCCAGAAAAAAACATTTGAGGAACATTTGTTGCTGTCAAAGTTCAAGCAATTTCTTACTGCCCTCATGGAAGGTGGACAATTGCTATCACTTTGTCCTAGTTCTCTGTCTGTCTGTTAGTTGTCTACCTGTCTTCTATCGGTCAGTTGTCTGTCTGTCTGTTGATCAGTTATTAGTCAATTGTAGAGGGTTTTGTCTGTTGGTTTTTAGTCTGTGCCTACCAAAATCATGCTGCATTGTACCTCTCAGCTGTTCGTTAGCTATCCATTCAGTCTCATAGTGAAATTATCAAGTGCATTTCTCTCTTATTCACCAGTGGGTTTTCTCTGTACAGTCAGTGCTGTCAATGAAATAGTTAACATTGAAACTCTCGGTTCACCTTCCCTTTGCTACCCTACAGCCCCATCCTCCCTGTTCTTCTGCGGTTGGTGATATATTAATGTTCTATTTATCCTATATGCTAGAATTTTAAATTCTCAATATTTCTGATGTTAATTGTTGGAAAATGGTGCATTTTCTAGATCAGGCACTTGCCATGGAGTGGTGCTTTGGATGGACTATTCCTTAACCGATGACATCAGCATCAGCACTGGGTTAACCAGACCCTGCTCTCACACGGTAATCCTTTGTTTTGTTTAACAATGAGTTGAGCACAGCAGGTCGTGGGCATCATGTTCTCAACCAGGAAGCAAATTTTGTGTTGCAATCCATTTGAATTGTGGGGGAATGGAATAGAAATTGGGACATTGCCACTGTTGTATTGTTGTATAGGAGCATTGATGTTTGTACAGGGAAAAGCATGTTAATCTGCTGAGTTTGGAGTCCCCACAAATGTCAAAACTGATTTCCAAGTCTTCCAAATAATGACTCTGCAGACGCTGCTCACTGTGCTCCATATGGTTGTGGTTTTCTGCAATAGTGGTCAGTGGCCTTAAAACTTGCAACAGCAACAGCCAGTGGTATTGTACACCGGAAGAGGGGAGAATAGGGCGGAGGGGGGGAATCTGTGACAGGAAATTTAAATTCTGATGCCCCATGCTGCTGGAGGCCCAGCTTGAGGGAGATACCTTCTAAAAGCAGGAAACCACCAGTTATTTTGGGAGGACTGGGTGTGACTGGTGCAGATAGGGAGGCAGCCCCTGGGTTGTGACTGGTGTGGGGAGTTGAACATGTCTTCAGTTGCCTGTGTTCTGTGTTCTGATTTCCTCCCTAAGCTTCTCTGGTTACCTCATTTTCCTCCTTCAAGATTCTTGTTAAAGCCTGCTCCTTTGATTAAGCTTTTGGTCATCTGCCCTGATATCTCCTTGACTTGCTTGGTATATTTTATATTATATTTGAAGCATTGATGTACTTTGTTAAAGGTACTGTAACAATGCACATTGTCATCATTCCTGAGCTGCTTTTGTTATGCTGTTGACAGGGTGACTGCAACTGGAACCCACACTGCAAGCAAGGTGTCTACTTCCTTAGTTCAGTGACTAATCCCAAGCACTCAACAGATGGGCTGAATTCAGTAGTTTACGATGTGACCTTTCACCCAGAGAGTGGTGAGGTGGCCATGGATTTCAAGTGGGCCCCGTGACCAGCCTCAGCCTGATGAAGGAAGAGACGGTGCATCTTTGTCTCTTTGGACGATGTTAGTGACTGCTACAGGAAAACCATACGCTTGAAACTAGACTGTAATATTACTCGTGGGAATCCTTTGGAAACTCAGAAAACATAAGATTTGTTTTACCCTGTTTCTTCTGAATTTGAAGGTGGTACAAGCAAAATTGGTTAGTTTAATCATTGCAGCTCAGCATCAAAGCTGTGCAGAATTAGCAGTGATAAGGAAAAGAGGCGAGGATCTGACTGCTTGGTTCAGTCAGCATTTTCAACTGAGTCAGGGGTTTAAGTTTCACTCCAGAACAAGAACACCACAATCTGGGTTGGCAGAGCCAGTACTGTGGTGTGTATTTACACAGAGCTATAAACCAATCTGGAATGTTTTCTTAGTTCTGTGATTTTAAGTAATTTTCTTTTATTACACAGGGACTACACTCCTTTTCAGGCCTGCTGTTAGCTCTGAATCAAGATAATAATTCAAGTACCTCTCCAGACCTTGCAGCATATCACGCAAGCTGACACTTTGCACTACTGAGAACATCCTGCATTGCTAGGTGTTTTGGTAAACTGATACATAATAGACCACTATGGTGAAATCTTTGTGCACTTGGCTGCCAGGTTTATCTTTGTGGCAACGGTGCTGTCAGGACAAATATCAGTATATGAAATATTTGTGGTACACGAGAACCATTATACAGCTATTGTTTTTCGTCCCATATTGGATGTTTAAGGATGTTCATCTCCCATTAGATGTGACTGAAGATTGAATTTCAGTTTACAAGAGTGAGGATGATTTCATCAATCACGATGTTTTGTTGTGCTGTGTTGTTCATTACCACGGTAGTCACCTGACCCTGGTTAGAGGAAATATGTAAGTTGTTTTTGTGTTGGCCCTCTTCTGTCCCTTAGCTTTACTTCGTGGCCCTGCTCCTCATCAAAAACAAGCTGGTTTATCACAAAGGGCACCACTAATGCCTTGTGCTCCATTGGTCAGTGTAATCCTAGACTGTTCTAGTAACCATGGTCAGCATAAACCCAATGAGTTATGCTGGCTGTGTGTGATTCATGGTTTTAGTTCAGCCAGTCTTGCTGGAGTTTATTTAATAAATATCAGAAACTGTGGAATGTATTCTGTCCAATTGTGTCTTGCTTAAGATTATGTGCATGTGCCGTGGACTTACATGAGCTAAGATTTTGCTGTCCTAACAGTGTTTTGAGAATGTTTTAATCACAGACTCAGCTTTTGCTGTTTGTAGCTCACATACTGATTAAATAAGTCACAGCACCATTTTAAGACTGTTTCCAAAACAAGCAGGCTCCATCTGGTGGCTGATTTGTATGACACCGTTTCATTCTCCTGTACTATTCGATTAGATAATGGTCTGCTTCACACTCCAGATGCAGTGAACTGTGCTGGGATGTATGTGTGCAGCTGTGTGGCATGGGGAGTATTAGTGTCTGTTGGGATGCCCTGAAGGTTGAAGAAAGTCACTGCAGCCTCAGCTGACATGCTTAGAGGGGTTACTACGCTTCAGGAGGAAGAGACATATATAACCCTGGTCAGATAGTTTGATAAATCACTGTCAGCATCTCAGGAGTGAGTTTTAGCTCGATTATATTCCATAAACCTAGCCCACTGATGGCATGTACACCATTGATTTCACTGACTTCAGATTACAAATCCCATATCAAGACAGTATTGCAGAGGGTGTTACTGTTTCTCACCACAGAAGTATCTACCAAAGCAGAAAGCTGAACACTGCAGGCGCTATGCTGTTAAAGAACTCAGTCTGCGTAGAGCATGGACTAGATTGCCACTGGAAAATGGGGTTACTGAAGTTATTTCTTCTTACAAATGGATTATGCTTGTCTTCATGCTTATGTATATGTTCATTAAAATTGAATTGGGTTAAAAAATTCATGATTGATTATTCCTCTAAATTAAAATCTGCCTAAAAGAAAGTTGCCATATGTAGCTGTACAGTTTCTAGTATGGATTACTGTACAAGTGATGAATATTTATTTATATGCAAACCAATGGTGTTGAATTTAGTTGGCTGAGCTATTGAGAGTTGGGCAGTGGTAGCAAGGTCTTTTACCCTCAGCTGTCACTTTAAAGTGGGGTTATTTGTCAGCAATCAAAAGCAACAGCTGCTAATGTCCCATTTGCTCCTTCACTGCTGAGCTTGAACTTCTTCACCTGGGACTTCTTGGAAGGAGGTGCTTCCCTGTGCTCTGCTCCAGCCTGTACTGTTACCCTGTATTCCTTTGCCTGTCCACAGACCCCTTGTTTGTCATCATTCCTCAGCAGTAATGTAACAGTAATCCAGATGCTTAGATAATGCTTCAGAGACCAATCCCATTAGGGCAAGTGAGGAAATTTAAATTCAATTAATTAATATGAAAAAAATGAATGATCATGAAACAGTTGCAAGAATGAATAATCACGAAAAAAGTGCTGTCTGAATCACCAGTGTCCTTTGCGGGTAAATCTGCCTTGAACTGGTCAGGTGTTTATGACTTCAGATGCATAGTGGTTGACACTTAATTACCCTCTGAAATGTTCCACAAGTCATTCTGTTGTTGGCCGCTCACCACCACCTGATCAAGGGCCTTCAAGGATGGGGAATAAATATTGACCTTGTCCAGCATTCCCACGTCCCAGAGATGAAAATTTAGAAAGAAATTGCCCTTCTGTCAACTTCACACAGTTACTGTCAGTTTGGTTCCTTTGCTGGTTTCATTACTGAACATGTAATGGCAAAAGGTGCTGAAGAAAAACGACTGCTGACACTGAGTCGTGGCTAACAATTGTGCTTCTCTTTACTGATAAAACAGGTTGAATACACTTGGTAAAGATCATGACAGATTACAAAAAGAATATTAAAACTATTTCTTAGATTCTAGTGAAAGCAGAAAAGAGGAGAAAAGTTACAAAAGTGTAATCTGACAGACTCAGGAACTATGTTGTACAAAGAGGGCCCACTGTGTCACTGTTAACCTGAGGATCATTCCTCTCTTGGGAGATGTCCGGAGAGGGGCTTATTTTCTGTTCCATTTGTTTCAAAGAAATTTTGTTTGGTAAATTGTGTAAGAAATAGATCATCAGTGTTGATGTAAAAGGTTGTTACTTTACTCCTCTCCTTCCACTGCAAATGTTCATCTTTTAGTCTTCGGTTAGGATGAAGGACCCTATCACGTTTGTCTGTTGACGTAAACAGACTCAATTCTGCATCCCACCCCTCCATTTGTATATCATTCTCTCTGGAACCTAGAACTATTCCCATTATCACCAGCACCAATCCATAGACTATGCACATTAACCTTTCTGATAGGGTGGTACCTTATTTGCAGCTGTCTGTAAATTCCACAATTTCTTTCTTCACCTGTTTCCCCACTCCCTGCTACATCAAGTTAACAGATCAGCCAATGTTTCACTGAATAATGGAGCAGGCACAGTCTGTTCATTACATTAGCTAGGCTGCAGAAGAGTACTTGAAAATATAGTATGTTTAATTTTGATTTTGAAGGAATCCTTTAAACAAAGTCTTGCCTCAAGAATGCAAACAATCCATCAAATTGAGGCAATATTTTAAGATTGTATATCTTAAGAAGAAAAGACAAGTTTCTTTAGTGGAAAAAGACTTCAAATGTGCCATTGTGATCTGCCTTTCATTAATTGTGAGGGACACAGGATCTCATAGGATTGCTTGTCTTTACCTTACTTCCACTGAACATTGGAATTCGAAATGTACAGGCATTCACACCAACATATTGTTGAATTCTGGAGTACATCTGATACAATCCTGAGAATATTCATAAGAATTAGTTGTAACAATTAATTTGTTAATTATTTGATATGCCCCTATTTGCACATCTCCTTTCAGAGAGGGAGAGTGGTTAAGGTAATAAGTAAGATGGGGTGAACAATGGGACTGGTTGAAGGGACAGTAATGTCTCCTGATCAGTCCAGTATCAGGTGAGTTCATGAAATCATGGCTGCAGCACAGAGAGAGAGGTTATTTGGCCCATTATGTCTACTGACTTTCTGTGAGAGCAAATTTCTGCTTTTCCCATAGCCCTACAACATTTTCCCCTTATATAATTATCCTAATTCTCTTTTGAAAGCTACAATTGAATCTGCCTTCACCATGCTCTTGGGCAGTGAATACATTCCAGATTCTAACCATTCATTGCACAAAAAGCACTTTTCCTTATGTCTGTCATTGTGGAAATATATAGATTTGCGATTTTAGTTGCTTAAAGTACCCCTGGACTGTAAAAGGCAAGTAATTGTCAATGTGTGCACCTGTACTCTGACAGGGGAGGCAGTGGCCAATCGCTGGATCTAGAGACCCAGATAATGTTCTGGGGACCCGATTTTGATCTTATCAATCTTGGTGACTTCAGTGGAATAGTTGATGCAGACCTCTTGCTTGGGGTCATCCGAGAAAACAGGATTCACAGTTGTAATAGCAATGGTTTCTTGTTGAACGTGTGCTAAACATGGGTGTTTAATCAACAATTTTCACCTTGCTAATTTCAAAGGATGTCTTGAATACCCTATTTTATTCATGAGCATCTAATCAACTAATTGTGTCATCACCTGGTGGAGGAGCAGGAGACAGGGTATGCATACAACAAAAAATCCTCATGTCACCATTGCTTCTTTTGCCAATCACCATAAATCTGTGTCCTCAGATTCTTTGGAGCAATCTCTCCTGGTCAATTTTGTCCAGACCCCTCGTAATATCTCTTAACCTTTGCTTCTCTAAGGAGGACAGCCCTACCCCATGTAACAAAAATTCCTTGTCTCTGAAACCATTCTTTAGATCTTTTCTCCAGTCTAGTGGCCTCTCATCTATCCTAATATCAGGTCTCTGGGGAGGGGGGTGGAGTTTGGTGGTGGGTGGATCTGGGATTAAGTGTGAAGTATGGCTATCAAAGATAAACGCCAAAACCTGCCCCAGGATTGTCTAGAATATATTGTGCTGTTGGCAGGAATCTTGTCACTTATGGCTCCACATCTTGCATAGCTGGTTGCAAGATACAGGCTGTAACGGTGTTTTGTTTTGACATTGTTAGGTCTTATCAGTCCCTGGTTACAAGCCAATATGACAAATAGTGGGAAGATACGTGCGAACCTCAGGACAATCTGCTTTGGATATCTTAAAACAGGCCTCTTATCGTCTGTGGTAGATGTAAAAGATCCCACAAAGAAGAGCAGGGGTGTTCTTCTCCACATCCTGGCCAACGTGCCTGAACTAAAATTACAGAAATTGATTATCTGAACATTATTGCCTTACTTGTGGGATCTTGCTTGCATTAATGAGCTGTTGTATATGTTACAATTATTACTATATTAAATTGATTGTAAAGCACTTTGGACCATCCTGACGTTCTGAATGGCTTTATATCAATGTAAGATTTCCTGTATGAATATTATCTATATATTCCCAGCATAGGAGATTCAAAGCTATAAAATATTGAGGAAAGCAGATAAAACCAGTATAGGTGGCAAGAGGATTAAGTTCTACAAGACTGAAAATTGTTGGAGGAAGGAGAGATGAAAAGGAGGAGTCTTATCTCATTGGAGTCCTGGAACAGAATCAGTGAAGAAAAGACAGCACGATGATATCTTGCTGATTTAAAGACAAATAAAGAACACTTAACAGCTGGTGAAGCAGTTGGTGCTGAGTCCCAGGGAGAGTGTTTTCCTTCAAGAGGCCAACGTGCCAGATGCTCACCTCAAGCTGTTCCTTGGGAACTGAGCTGATGGCAAGCTGCCAATATGGCTAAGATTGACATTTAACAGAATTATGCCTGTTCAGCAGGTCGCCTCCACACAGAGCTACTTGTGGATAATGATGGGAAACCACTTCCAACTCTCTATTAGTACATTAACTCCAGTTAATTCCAGTTAAAGGAGCTGCTCACAGCTATTAACGGCAATGAGGGCTCAACCAGTAAATACCAAACAGATTCTATTCCTCTTCAGCAAACCAATCCCATACAATAGGCATGTCTAGCCCCACATAGACTCTTACTGTCCGGATAAGATATAAAACGGTGCTCATGGTAATGTTGAAGAGCATTTGATTGTAGCAATGCTTCAAGTCAAACTACTGACCTGTCAGTGCTACAGAATGCAGTCTCTTTACAGTGGAGTGTTATGGCAGGGAACTCCCCAGACATAACCCCTCAATCAAGGGGAGAATTAAATGGCTAGAAACTGAATGAGCTGCCTAATATTTATTTTTCTTTGGAAACAACGACTGATGTAGATTTCATTACTACAGAAAATTGAGAAACTAACCCATGGTCCACTGCAGCTATGTTGGGATAGACATGTTGGAAATGGGATCTTTCCTGTAATAAAGTAACAGTACCAGTAAGCCTTAAGTATTGATCGTTTCTGTTTTTGTTGTTGATAGGTTTCATAATTCCCCTTATTCATTCATGGGATGTGTGTTGTTGACTCAGGCAAAGTTTATTACCTTTACCAAATTGCCCTTGAGAAGGTGTCAATAAGAGCCATCTTCCTGAACCACTATAGCATTGGGTTGTTGATACACATACAATGCTATTAGGGAGAGCACTCTCAGAATTTGATGCAGTGATGGTGATAAAACAGATATATAGTTCTAAATCTGGTGGTATGAGACTTGGAGGAGAACTTGCAGCTGTTTATGACAGAGCATCTGCTGCATTTGTCTTTCTAGGTGGTGGAAGTAGCCGGTTTGAAAGGTGCTGTCAAAAGAGCTTTGGTGAGTTGCTGTAATGTATTTTGAAGATGATACGTACTGTTGCCACTGTGATCACTGGTGGAGGGAATTTATGTTGATGGATGCATTGTCAATCAAGGAGGCTGCTTGGTCGTGTGTAGTGTAAAGTTTCTTGAGTGTTGTTGGAGCTGC